TTTAAATGCATGATTTCGGTCCGAACTTCACATAATCATGTACTAACATGGTACGAACATAGAATTACAACATATTGAAGCTCAATTTCATAATTTATTTATATGCATGGCTCATTTTCCACCAACTCATTACCAATGTAACCATTTCATGCATTCAAAGCTTCTACTTCCATGGATTGTACATGCATGTGACATATAACCTTCATTCTCATCTCATATGATGAAAAGATGGTCAAATACATGGATTTCAACCAAAATTGCAACATGAGTCATTCATCACCTCTGGTTCTCACCATCTGATTAAACTTGCATTATATTTCATACAAAAGGTACACAAGTACGCATACACTAAGAAGCACATATTTCCAGATAATTCGCAATACAAGTAGTTCACAACCTACACATATAATTATTCATAACGAAACGTTTAAGCATATAATCAATGCTTCCAAACTCGTATCTATCACATGAATGCATCCTAGATCTTATCTAGAAGCTTATTGCTCTTTTTGGACAAGTGTGTGAGTTATTAACTCGTACTCTGATACCACTCTGTCATGACCCGAACCCGCCCCTATGGGTTAAGGACATAACCGGCCAGTAATCCTGAGATTACTTACGGCCTCAAACCAAAATAGACATAAATCATCAGAGTAAAGGGGCCAAATGGAAGCAAAAATTTAAAGCTTTGTCCATAGAGCCGTGCTTAAATGCACATCAAACAAACTATACACGTATATGTTAATAACCCACGACAAAATACAGTACCATAAAATCCTTTACAGACAGGATCATCCAAACTGAGTCAACCCATATCAAAACTATATACGAATATCCATAAAGTTCCTAGCCAACAAGACAAAATATAAATACATAGCAAAATGGCAAGGATGGGTCTCGTGCGTGAGACACAAGGCTGACTCTCCAAAACTTATGTTGTTCCTGGCAGACTTCACTAGGGCTAGGTTTGGACTTCTCTTGGCTCACCTACAAACACATGAATGAGCGTGAGCAACAGCCCAGTGAATAATATCAAATACAGAAATCACATAACGATGTAGAACAACATGTCCCAAATGGGCTTGGGCCCAATTCACATTTCTACTTAACATATATATATATATACCTATACAAAATTTAGATCAAGTGACTGTAGTTCCAACATACTGGCCTTTGGCCCATTCAGGTTTCCATTCCTGTCAAAACGGCCTCCGGCCCACTCATTTATGTCAAAACGGCCTTCGGCCCATTCATTTATGTCAAAATGGCCTTTGGCCCATTCATTTCTGTCAAATGGCCTTTGGCCCATTCATTTACGTCAAAACAGCCTTTGGCCCATGCATTCGTGTCAAAACGGCCTTCGGCCCGTTCATTCATCTCAGAACGACCTTTGGTCCATTCATATAGGTCAAAAAGACCTTCAGTCCGTTCATTTATATCAAAACGACCTTCGGTCCATTCATTTACATCAAAACGACCTTCGGTCCATTCATTTACATCAAAACGACCTTCGGTCCATTCGTTCATTCATGTCAGACTTTTGTCCACAATCCCAATTAACAATTCATAAATTTTATAAGGGAATAAACAATTGGACATTGACAAGCTTTCAAATATTGATATTACTCACAGAGATCGGCTTGTGGATTTTCCCTGGAGCTTGACCCTACACATTTCATGAACACAAAAAGGGTCACTAACAATTCAATCTGTTCCTTAATTCACATATTCCTCATTAGGCTTTATTCATATCTCATTAATTCATTTACAATGCTTAACATATGCCTAAGAGGGCTTACAAGTGAAAGAGAACGGAAAACAGAACTCAGAATGCAAAAACAGAATCTTAGAAAACAGGGTCCCCGCTCGAGCGTGGCCTTACCCGCTCGAGCGGACCCCTGAGGCCTGCAAAAGTACTGGATATGGGAAATTTACCCTCGAGCGTTAAATCTGGAACTCGAACGGAAGGCCTCTTTATATGGCTCCCCGCTCGAGCGCGAACTTACCCACTCGAGCGGAAGCCATGCCTGCAAAAAGTTCTGGATGTCTCATTTTTACGCTCGAGTGCGACCTAGGACGCTCGAGTGGAAGTCCATCCTATGTAGCTCCCCGCTCGAGCGTGGACTTCCCCGCTCGAGCGAACATGAAGGGCTGCAGAAATTATACTGGGAGCACGTATTTTCCGCTCGAGCGGACTTCAAAATTCTGGAAAACCCAGAATGTGTTCTTGAGCTCCAATTCGGTTTTCAAGCCACAATACTTGCTTGCAATGGCTCAAATCTCAATATAATCATATCAACATGGTACTAATGCAAGATTATAACATTATAGAGCTCAATTTCTTGATTTATCTACATGCATGTCCCAAAATATGTCAAACTCAACACCAACATAACAAACTCATGCATCCAAGCTCATATCTTCTCAAATTGTACATGCATGTGATGAATTAGCCACATTCTCAACTTAGGTAACACAAATGGTGATCAAGACATGAGTTTCCTTTAACATTTCACATGGATTATCCACATTTGTGCTCAAACATGCAATATCAGGGTGATTTCCTACATGCATGCACATATTAGGCTTTAATTCAACAAATACAACCCAATTTCATTTTAACCCTACTCTTGATCACCAAATTAGCTTCAACACACAAAATAACAAACTATACTCCAAGAATTACTCACCTAGAAGCTTTGATCTCCTAAGCTCTAGTCAATTCTTGAGTTAAATCTCCAAGATTCCCAAGCTTTGAGCTAAGTTTGCTCAATTCTCTTCTCTCCTCCTCTCTACAGCCGTCTCTCTCTTCCTCTCAATAGTCTAACTCAGATTTTGAGTTCATAAGGGCTAGAGGGGAGTGTAATGCTATCATACAACAAGCCCCACTAACATAATATTTCAATATAAAATATTTGGGCACTAATTCATCAATTAAATCGACTTAATCTGGCCTGAATCAATTTTTCAATTAAATTTTACCGTAGGCTCTAAAAATTACACTAATCACAAAGGCGTAATCAATTTCGGGTTCTGTAGCCGATAAGGCCCTCAATTTAATTTCCATAACTGATTATTCAGATAGGTATTCCTACGGTGAACAGATAAGACTTCAAAATCACAAACATTCACATAATGGCACATAAAATCATGCTAAACACATAATCATACTCAAATTAAGGACCAATTAGCATATTACGGGGCAGGGGTATCACACAAATTGATCACGTCAACCGCTGTCTTCAATGTCTCACCCCAAAAGGATCTTGGCAATTTAGCTTGTGAAAGCAAACACCTTGTTGTTTCCACAATGGTGCGGTTCATCCTCTCAGCAACTCCATTTTGTTGAGGAGTCTTCTTAACTGTCTTTTGGTGCCGAATACCTTGGCTGCGACAATACTCATCAAATGGCCCAATGTATTCACCACCATTGTCTGATCGGATGCACTTCAATTTCTGCCCTGTTTCTCTTTCAACCATGGCCTGAAAATGCTTAAATACTTCTAGAACTTGATCTTTAGCTTTTAGTAGAAAAGCCCAAACTTTCCTTGAATAATCATCAATGAAAGTAACAAAATAAAGTGCACCACCATGTGTTCTAACTTTTAAAGGACCACAAACATCCAAATGAATCAACTCCAAAACATTTTCTTTTCTAGAAGCAACATTTTTATGAAAAGAAACTCTATGTTGTTTACCCACCAAACAATGAACACAAGTTTTAAGATGTGTACCTTTCAAACCGGGTAGAAGCTCTTTCTTGAACAAAACTTGCAGCCCCTTTTCACTCATATGGCCAAGCCACTTGTGCCATAATTCAGTAGAAGTATCTTCTTCAAGTGCATTGACAACACCTTTACAAATTTTTCCTTGCATCGAATAAAGTGTATGAGTCTTCTTACACTTAGCCACCACCAAGGAACCCTTTGTGAGCTTCCATATTCCATCACCAAATTTGTTGTTGAAGCCTTCATCATCAAGCTTCCCAGTAGAGATCAAATTGAGACGAATGTCGGGAACATGCCTCACATCTTTAAGCAACAACTTGCAGCCCAAATTTGTTTCCAAGCAAACATCACCCATACCAATAATCTGGGACAAACCTTCATTACCCATAATAAATTTACCATCCGGAAAATTTTTCACAAATACACAATGGTCTAAAATGGTTTTAGAAAAACTATTATTCATCATGAAAAAGTCAAATTTTTTGTACCATTGCCGCGGGACTTGCTTGAGGCCATACAAACTTTT